AGACAATTAAGAAATGCGTCTTGCGCACATTTAGAAAGTAGTAAATTTAAAAAGTGCTGTGGTGTGTCTAATGCGTCTTGGAGGGTCACTATGCGTACGTAATATAAATAAGATTTATTTATAATCAGTCTGGCGACTCAAGTTTGTTGAGGTAATTAACAGAACTTTTACAATATACGTACTCTGTATGATATCATTTACTAAATATTTTTAAAAAAAACTTTTTTACTGATAAGTATTAATAACAGATTTATCGTCGAGCTAACTTGTAACCGTTTTGCCGTTAAGACCATTCTTAACGTACTGCATTAACGCTAACGTCAACTTCATAGATGTTGATGAATGCCTGTTGTTGCTTGATAACTGTCTGGAAGGACAACTCTGCCTCAACACTCCCGGATCGTTTAAATGTATCCGAACCTTATCTTGCGGTACGGGATACGCTTTGAATAGCGAAACAGAGCAGTGCACCGGTTCATTTCAATCTCCTTTCTCAACAATAACAATAACAATAAACGTTAATTCTTTGAGACACAGTTTAAATTTCTTATTGTTTTGAAAAGTTTAACAGAATATTTCGGAGTTCCGACTCATCTAAAAAAGTTCTAACTACTGTTGCAGCATGAATCGCAAACAGAAGTATTTTGAATTAGATGAATTAAAGGAATTATCTGATAAAGTTTTCATTAAACTCAAATAAAAAGTTATTAGAATTTTTTTTCGAAGAAAACAAAAAGAAAAAAAATTTTTTTTTTGAGGAAAAACAAAAATTCACTACAACGCTAATTTTTTTATAGATAAAACAAATTTCTGGAAAGAAAATAGAATTTGTGACTGAAAAATATGAGAAAGTGTCACTCTTATTTACGCAGTTTTGGGGATTATCACTTAACCTTTTGTTGCATCTAATAACACATTTTTTTCAAGGATTAAATCTGATTTAAGCTTCTGTTAAGATTTTCTAATTTGCTAACATAAATGTATTTTTTAACTAAACATATATTATTCTACTTTCTGTAACTATTGCAATTTGTTTGCTTAGAAAAATATTCAAATTTAGTTAGGTTAAGTCTCAAATAATTTTATAAGAAAGATTTAGATGTTGACGAATGCGCTTTGGGCTCTCACGATTGCGGTCCACTGTATCATTGCAGGAATACACAAGGCAGCTACCGCTGTGATCCAAAAACTTGTCCAGAGGGTCAGATAATGAACTCGATAACAGGAGAATGTTCAGTCATTGATTGCCCTCTCGGATATGAACCTTCTGAAAATGGTTGCAAAGGTTACGAATCTAAAAATTCTTTTTAATAAACACATTAAATGAATTAGAGGCTTATTTTTATATGGTAAATACAGTTTTATTAGAATACTTGGTTTGTTTGGCGTTCTCAGAAGCTAATCTGAAAAATCTAAATTTATTTTTATTTTTTTAGACCTTTTTGCACGCAACTGCTGGTAACTTTTGTTTGAAACGTTTGAAAAAACCAGGCGTACTTATGTACTCACACCTACACAGAAGGTTATGAGCACTAGCAGTTGTTTAACCCAAACCCTCCTGCAACAGTAGCTAAGGAAAGCTGGCTATGACTGAACATCATTACACCTTTTTTTTCGTACCTCATCAACCCAATGCAAAGATCTAATTTCATCAAGCATTAATGCCTCTGAACAGCTACTTTTTTACAATCTTTTGTAGCTAAGCAATAAATAAGTTAGAAATCATTATCTGCTTTCCAGATTGAAATAGCTTGCTTAAAAAAAATTTCAGCAGTTTTTGACTGGTCTAATAAAGTTTTGACTACTGTTTCAGTACAATATTCACTGCTTGAAGGAACTGAATCAGTTCTTGAGTTTTTAGACTAGATCCTCTTGTTGTTACCTAAATATATTCAAAACTGTTAGTAAAAAGTTTGACTACTAAGCCTTAATTTCTAAAAATTACGAAAATTTCCAAAAATTTTTTGGAAAATTACAAATGACCGCTATTTTAAAGTAAACCAATGTGTGTAACAGCATGATTGTTATAGATGTCAACGAGTGCAAAATTGTTGGACGATGTCAGCAATATGAAGAATGCATTAATACTCCAGGCTCGTACAGGTGCCAGGAAAGGGGAAATCTTTGCACAAGTGGTTATCGTATGGACAGAAATACCGGTTTCTGCATGGGTAAGATAAAAAAATTTTATATTTTCCCTTGATCAGCGGTCACTTATTTAAGGCATAGGTTACTGCTCGAAAAAATTGAATTAAAAAAAAATTAGACATTTATAATCTTTTCAGTTTGACTTGTTAACAGGTTTACTTTATGAATGGCTCTAGCTGTTTTTACTTCATTGCCAAAGCCAATGACTTAGTGAAAATAGGTTTAGAAGTGTAGAATGAAAAAACTAATAAGCGTAGTTTTTTTATAACAGATCCTGTTTACTACATAGGTGTGCCAAAATCATAATGCCAATTTTTTTCAAAAGCTTCAAGTTAGGAATTAAAGTTAGTGCTCTATTCCAGAGTTGCTTTAGATATTGACGAATGTGCCGAAGGTACGCACACTTGTGAGGACAAGCCATGCATCAACCTTTATGGGACTTATAAGTGTCGCTGTCCAAATGGATTCGACTTTAATGAAACAGTGCTTTGGTTTTTCTTTTTATTTTGTGAGATTATTTAAAAAGACCAAATACCAAAAAATAATTGGCTTTCATCAAATCTTTCGTAAACTGTCTGCCTAATTTTCAGAGAGGATAAATCTCATACCTTTGTACTGTAAGCTTTCTACCTCTAAAAGCAAATTAACACTACAGCAGAAAGAAAAAATTTTTGGGATCTAAGTTCTTTAAAGCGAGGAAAGACAGAAATGAGGTACAAAAACGCCTTTAGACGATGCGATGTGAGGATATAGACGAATGTGTGCGATACGCTGGCCATGTTTGTTCACCTCAAGCCAGTTGCGAGAACACTTTCGGTTCATTTCGGTGTCACTGTGGCGCTGGATTCAAGCTTGCAAAAGACGGCAGAAACTGTGAAGGTTAATTTTACTTCCTTTCAACTTTATGATATAAGTTTGAAAGCTTCAATTATTAGTAACTGGAAGTACTGAACAGATATCGACGAGTGCGCCTTGGGTATTGCCAAATGCGCTCAGCGTTGCGTTAATATCCCAGGGTCTTATCAATGCATATGCGACAGAGGTTATCAACTGGGAAGAGATGGGGCCACATGTGAAGACACTGACGAATGCGCATTATGGGCTGGAATGAGTAATAATTTTGTTATGCTTGAAATACCATGATTTTTGTTTTTGCTAAAATTAGCTAATTTTCCTACAAACAGCAGCTCCGATTCTAATATTTCAGTTTTTTGCATATTGCTCTTTAGGTGACCTGTGTATGGGTGGGTGCATAAATACACCCGGATCTTTTAAATGTGATTGTCCGGATGGTTATGAGCTTCAGTCGGATGGACGAACCTGTCTGGGTAATCTTTTTAAAAAATACTTTACGAAGTACCATTTAAAACGGATATTTATTACAGATATTGATGAGTGCCAAAGAGGAGAGTGTCAGGGAAATGAGAAAATCTGTGTGAACACATTGGGAAGTTTCAAGTGCCATCGTATTAAATGCCCACTAAACTATGCGCACGACAAAAACTACAAGAAGTATATATTCTCCATAGCCGTTAATTCACCACTTCTAAATAATTATGGAAGGAATGTTAGCATAAAACAGCTACAGCTTTTGTTTTATTCTGTCAAATCTTTATTGATTCAGTTTCTGATCCTTCACTAACCCTTAATGATTTACTAATGCACGGCGGTGTTCCTCAAATAGCTCATGTCTAGATGCTTACACTAATTCTGAAACTGATTGTGTTACTTAACTTTGACAAGAAAGTGACAGAAAATTTCACAAGTACTTAACGGTAAAACCACGTATTTCCAGTACAGTTTGCTTGGTGATAAACTGTTTTATTAGAAGGGTTCAAAAACTTTCCAGTATCTGACAAAATTTAGCCGTTGTAATCGTGAACGAGGTGCATGCGATGGCTTGTCAGAATCTGCATGTAAGAATATGCCGTTACATATCACTTGGCAATACATAGCAATTCCTCGTTTAATACCGCTGTCAGATCAGCAAACATCTATTACGTTGTTTACCATCAAAGGACCGACAAATCCGGTGACCACCGCACAATTTGAATTGAACCTAAGAAGGACAAAAACAGGTGCTTATTCTACTTTTTGATTTCTAAAATTTATTACCAGTTTGGGAGAAAAATTGTACTATATTTTATCATCAGCAACGTTCCAAGAATAATATTTACATAAAGAACGTAAATAGTTATGAGCAATAACCATTGAGAATAGTCTGCTAAAACTTGAAGGATATTGATAAAAAGTTTTAGAAAACAGTACCATTATGCCAGCTGTTCGAAGTAATTTTCTGTTGCAAAAAGGTGACGCGATCAACTCAGCAATTGTTGCAATTCGAGATTCACTTGATGGGCCACAAGAAGTGCATCTGGAACTGGTTTCACGCCTTAGTATCAATGATAAATTTTATGGCAAATTTACTGCAAATTTGATCATTTATGTTGGAGCCCATAGACGTCAGAAACACATGCAAATTTAATGGCAATTACAGTATTAAAAAAATTTTATTTTTCGCTGTTTCATCTGTGATAATGCTTAAAAATTACTAACATAATCGCTTTCAAATGCATGTAAACGCCATGACGGTTTAGCTTTTTCAGTTGAAAATGTCAACAGTTATAATTTCATTTAACTGAGCTAAATAAACTAGGTCCGCTTGCTAACTGCTTGTTCAATAAAAAAAAATGGATGTAACTGACAGTTGTTTGGTGTCGAATAAGAATAAAAATTTTGTAGATGGTAACACCGAGCAATATGTAATTTCAATTCCGCTTCGCCAACAGATTTTAACAGCTTCTACCTTCACTAACAAGTTTTCAGATAATTTATGCATGTTTCTAGTACTTGGGTTTCCACAAGAATTATTGAAATCAGAAGACGGCCATTACTTGGCAGTTATTATGGAAAATCTTGATTTGAACACCAAGACTCCTGGTTGGTGAATTGGATGAGGTTTTTGACAAAATCTCGTTTTCTCAAGTACAGTACTAATAATCAAATCGAATTACTTTTTCAAACAAGTCTTTTAAAAGGTTTAGAAGCAAGTAAATAAACAGTGTCGTTCAACACAAGAACGCCGGACTCAAAGTCATTATATAAAACAACCTAGTAAATAAAAGGCATTCAGGTTTGTCAAGTAGAGTGAAGCAAGCATTAAAAATATAGTGTTGCAGCAATATAGCTGATGGCTATTCTTGCCTTAAAAAGTGTAAGCAGATTGACGTCATATGTTTGGCTAATCATACCGAGGAGCTGCTTTATCAGTTTCGAACATTACCAACAATAACTCGCCTTCGAAACCCCATTGAGGTTTGATTCTGCCCAGCAGTTGCTTTTTAATGTTAAAAATCATTAAACAATCACTAATTTACGCTATGAAGTCACTATGAAACAAAATGATTTCAGATATCCAGACTTCAAGCCCAAATGGACAGACCCTTTTCAGTCACTTATAAGATAGATCGCTCAAATAAGGAGAAATTCGCAGTGGAACAACACGACAAAGAAGGTACCCGACAACTTTTAAAAAATGGCAGTCAATATTTTTTTTGACTCCGGCAACCTTTATCAGAAAATTGACCGTTTTTGCACTAAGTCTAGCAGACTATGTCCAATACGAAGTGAACCGTTGCAGGTATTGTTAAACTTAAGGCACCTCTAAATGGGCCATCAGTTGAGGTGGTACGAGTTCATATTAATACTTATTCAAGGACCCACGTTTTGCTTGCACACAATATAGCAACTATAACAATTTATGTATCACCCTTTGGATTCTAAGCTTTAAACGTCAATAATTTTCGCCCGATGACTTTGCCCACTTGCACTTATTCTGCGAACTTCCACTTCTCCAGCAGTAGCAACCGCCTTTATTAATTTCATTTCTCTATTTGTATAAAACCACGCTCAGCATTACCCAATCGGGCTTTTGAACCAAAGGTTTCAACCTCCAAACTCAAATATAAGGTGAAGTGTCTCAAGAAAAACAGTAACAGAGGAGTTACAGTCCCAACTTCCAAATTTAAATAAATGGTGCAGTCTTGGAAAAAAAAGAAATGGGAGAGTAATGATTTCTTCCTACTCCTCGCGTGAAAAGCTTTTGTAACCGTCTCTGCGCAATGCGTGCCGAATTTAATACTTTCCAACCCTTCGTTACTAATTACAATCCTGTTCATTGTTTACTATGGATTCTTGTTTTATAAATAAAAGTTGGAAGAAACAACCAGCCTCATAGAACTTTTACTGCACTGCAAACCTGGATAAACCAGCAAAATTAAGACACTAAATAAACTTTGAAATGAAGCGTTTTTACAAAAGGACCAGATTATAGCACGGCTAGAAATACACAACGAGGGATTTGATGACGAGTGAGAAACGAAGGTATCTACAGGTCAAAATATGCTGTAAATACTTATTACAAGTCGAGACATTCCATCCGTGAACAGAGGAGAGAATAAACATCTTCAATGCTATAAGTTAGAATTCAAAAAATTTACAAAAAGAGCGGCAATCTTAGATGTCTCCTCAACAGGATGCTTTTTCGCATACGCTATAAATTGCCTCCGCAACCTGGACAACTCAGGAAGCGATCGTTTGCGCCTGAATATTGCCTAAAATAAATCTGATAGTGGCATCCGTCTGACATTTACTGTAACAACTGTTAAGGCTAAAAATACATTTTTACAAAGCTAAATACAAAAACAACACTAAAAAAGAAACATTTCAAAAAGGTATAATTTTAGAAGATACAGATGTAAAAGATACGGAAACTCTTCTACCGTAAAGTCACTGTAATGCCTTCTTTAACAGGATAATTATTCTCTATGATTAAGTACAATATAAGATATTTAACTATAAATTTTACAAACGGAAAAAATTTGCAGTCGTAAAACAAACTCTTTCATTCTCAGGCGAACAGTAAGGCACAATAAACGAATCCCCTACGATTGCATTATTTTGTTGTTGAAATACCGATGAAACAACATCTTTTGTAACTTGCTCCAGAGTTTGAGCAAAGTCATGCGTAATTAATGGGGTGTTCAAGGTGCTCATATTCACTGGTAAATCCTTGCCCTATAAAATATGACCTAATTTGCTCGAATCTGTTTGGACAAAAAGCAGAACACTTACTTCAATGAGCGAAGATTGAAGACCTTCTAAAGGAAGTGACACAAATTTTGGAGATAAATAACCGCTATTTCCTTCTAAAGTTGTTTCATGTACTTCCTCCGAACCAATATGAACTTCGAACAGTGGAGAGTCCCACCGGTTTTTTGCTTCAGGTTTTTCATACCGTTTGTTTAGGTCCTTAATTACTTCGGTGGAATACCTAAGGTAAGAGTCAAAAAATATGTAAATTTAAAAAAGTCAAAAGAAGAATAAGGAAATATTTTTACTTTTCGTGGTCGATCTTTTGAGAGTTAAGCCATAAAGAAGTTTTTTCGTCCGCACTGCAAAGAAGAACAGCATATGTTGTCTTTACTAGCTTCGCAATGCAGTAAAGTTCGTATCGAAACCCTTAAGTTCACAAATAATCCTAATTCACAGCGAAAAAAATTGGTGGCGAAATACGAAGATCTTATTACCTTTAATGTAATTTAGAGAATCACAGATAACAAGAGACTGCCTGGACAGTTGCCGCTGGACTTCCGATCGAAGAAAGTCATGATGCTGCCGTTCCTAAATACCTTTCATTGTACCTATAACTTTGAGCACGACAAATATTTAAAAACTAAAAATCCATAGCAAACTCACTCACGTCCCTAGGATTTTCGTACAACTTTCGTGAAAAACTCCCATCCTGTTCATCTGAAATTACCTCAACACTTAGAGAGTCATTTTTACTGAAATATTCACAGATCCTTCCAACAATTGTCGATTTACCAACAGCAGGGCCCCCAGTAATCACTAATAGCGGCATCTTCCGTTATAACACCTACAAAATACCATGAAAAAGAGTAGCAGTTCTCGTCGAAAAAAAAAAAAAAAAAAAAACCAAAAATAGAATACAAACGATTACGTTATTGATCCACTTAACCTACTGCCCAGCATAAGCAGATTCAGAATAAGTGAACCATTTTACCTCCCTCAAAAGGCATTCCAATAAATGAGTTCCTAAGTATTTCGCAGCAAATCAAAAAAGAATCGAATACAAAATAAAATAATTCTTTAATGCGTTGAGGTTTAAGAAAGATTTCACTAATGAAAAGAAACAACTGACAAAAATTCATCTCCCAACAAAAACTGAACAGAACGTGATGTCTTAGAAAAGTGTATAAACGGCTTTAGAACTCTCAAGAAACCAACAAATGTTTGCAGTGCAAATTCTACATAAAGCAATATTCTGCATCTAAAGGGTTAAAAATCACACTGATTGATCTCCCCAATCAATTAAAGCATCAAATACTCGAACAGCTAAAACCGACTTTCTTGTAACAACTCAGAATAACGGCAAAAACTTTAAGAAATCCAAAGCTAAAATAAGCAAACAATGAAGCAAAATACAAAAAGACCCTGGAAACCTGAAAGTAGCCCTTAACTGGTCAGTTTCTCAGTAAACTCCAACCTATCCGCAAAAAACCCCAGCCGCCCTTGTGCACGATATTATCAATCCATCCACTGTCGTCTATCACCGAAATGTACCAACAGTCGTTTTTGTCTCACTTCAGACAGTACAGAAAGAATGCAATCGTTACGAGACCAAAAACTACCACTTCCGATCCCACCACTGATAATGAGCTCCACTCTCTAATTCCCTAGCGAGGCTTCTGGTTTAGACAGTGCGCTGTCTCGACGGTCAAACACTCTCTGCATAATGGAGTTTTGATATATTGGTGGTCTTTGTTCTTTGCACAATGTACTCAAGAACCATTTAGGCACAGCTTACAGTGCATGCACATTATTAGTGATCCGCCGCCTCCGAATTAGGTGGCAGATAGATAGTGTTTTTTTGTATGTAACTAACATATTTGATACACTAGAGAAATTGAAAACGTAGCGGTCCGTTTTAGCAAGGTGGTTTATCAAAAATCTGAAGTCTGAAGCTTTCTGTGCTTACGGTTTTGAGAGTGACAAGAATGAGATCGCTTTTTAATGATGAAATAAGCTCGCTGCATAAGCCGAAATAAACAAGAGGAAGTACCAAAGAAACATTCTTTGTAGTTTGCAGTAACTGCATAGCTATAGCAAAGAGAAATATTTGCAGTCATATAGCTGAATTTCAACCTTAGTTAGCAAGCAACACCTGAAATGGTAGGTTTATTTAACAAAAGGCAGAATTTGTTTTAAGAACCAACTTACAAGAGTTACAAAGCTGTTTTTTTGGCAATATTAAATAAATATAAAGTTCAGTTCTAAGACAAGAAGTCTAATGATTGATGGGCAGTGGAGCTGTAAAGTCTCTGGCTTCACCAGCAGGAAATAAAAAAAGCAGTTGAACTCAAATATTGGTCAAATTAAAAGCCTAATATCATTTAAGGAGAACAGGTGCAGAGTGTGCGAACACTGCCAAGTTGTTTCAAAGCAGTTTTACATCCAAAAAATTTATAGCGCATTCAAATTCAGTATTTTTGATTGAAACAAAAATTGTGAAAGTAATATCTTTTTGTTAACTTACGGAAACCACAATTACTTCATTAGTCTGAACATCTGTAATATTTAACATCTGTACCAAATAAAAAATTTGTTAATAGTGGGCGTCAAGTACTACTTGTCCTTAAAGAAATTACTCTCAAAAAAGAAACCTTGAGTGCTTGAATGAGTGTTGATCCGTCTGTGATTTTTCTGAATGGTATGAGAGGCGAAGCTATATCTGAAGGCTCAAGTTGTAATGCCCGCATTTCTTGCAAAGTTTAAAGTACAGTACGTTATCTGGCATCAAGCTGGTATAGAAGTTGGTACTGCATAAGCCGATGAGAATACGTCGGCAAAAGTGTGAAACTGTCAGTCTGCACCTTTTTTTTAATCATCAAGTGGTCCGGAAAAATTTGTTAGTGCTGATACATCCCGCTATCGGATTACTCCTTCCCAGTTTGGAGTTACTCCTATTGGAAGTGCCTGATCACTGTCGTAAATGTTGCTTTCATAACTTTTGAAATATTAGTTTGCCATTTTAAATAGCTGGCGGTAACAAACCTAGAAGATCATAATTTTGAGCCAGCCGTCATGAGAGCAATAGTTTAGTAACAGTGTTCAAAGAGTTCTTATAATCCTTCAGGTTGATTCGCGGAATGTTCTTTCTTATCCTAAATGATTCCTAAACGTTTAGCGCTTCCACTCTTTCTCTATCTTCACCTCCAAAATGTTTTAAAATTTCTTCATATTTGAAGACATTCTTGGAGATTCGTGGATGCTTATTTGAAAATGGTTTCCATCAGTCGATAAAAATTCACGGTTTAGTCGCAATTTTTCAATCCTTTAATAAAATTATCGATGTAATTTTTGTTTACCACTTTCTTGGTTTTGTTCGATTTCAAGGTTGTTCTTTACTCTTTTTTCTTCGTTTCTTCACCTTTCGGATGGAACAATAATGTTACTAAGAGTAAATAATAAATGGCTTGATATTACTCCAAATGCTGCCCATTTGAACCCATAAATCTTTAAATTGTCTTTTTGAACATCTTTATTCAAATTTTTCATCCGTAAAGAGCGTGTCACATTTTGACTCCTTTCATGCAGTCCGAGCTGTAAAAACGCTCTTTTTACATCTGCTACAACAGTAACATTATGCGTATGGATCTCCATAATATTCCGCATAGGTCCGGTAATAATCTAGGTCCAAAATACAGAGACTTGTTTAAGCTTCATAATTCTTTCTCTAGTTTTGATGAAGCATCATAAACTACCCTATTTTTTGTCGTTTTTTGATGGGGTTGTGACTGGCGATAGGGCAGCTAATACGCGAATTAAACGAAGAATCTATCTTTCTGGCCCTTCTTCAATGAAATCTTCATTTTCCTGTTCTTTTAGAACTCGGTCATACTCCAAACGTAACGCATTTCTTTCTTTTGATCTTTTAATAGTCGACTTTAGTCTTAAGTAACTTGACCAGCAATTGTCACGTAACTTTGATATATTCTTTTTTAGTGGCCAACTTACGTAAAGTCAGTCTCTTAGACGCTGTATGTTTGAATAAAATTGTTCTGAAGACTTATGTGATTCTTAAATTCTAATGGTTTCCGAGTTCGAAGTCCGATCCAAAACTTCGATTCTTTGGGTTACTATCAAAAGAATGAAGACTTAACTGTGGTAACCTAGTTTCTGGGGGGAATTTAGATCCGAGACCGACTGAACTTGAAGTGTCTTCTCTGGTGCATTCAGAGCTTTGTTTAATTCCCACATTCTACGATACCTAACAACATTTTTGCTTTGTCCAGTGAAAAGTCAAGAGAATCATTTTCCTTCTGTGCAACAGTCAATTAATTTTCCCTCGTTGTTTGGTTTTGTGTCAAAAAAGTCTGCCGTTAACCTGTCGCACTCTTTGTTACATTGTTCGAGTTGTCTAATGGCTTCTTCCGAATATCGTTTGCCAAAAATTAGTTCTTCATCCGGCTTCTGACATTCACTTCTTTCCTTGGGAATATCCGTGCTTCCTTCCGCTGTGAAGTATTCTTGCAGACGTTTGTTCAGACAATTAAGTGTCATATGGATCACGATTGGCATAAGTCAGAAAAAAGCCTCCTTGACAGAATGAAAGTCGCTATTCTGAATTTTCTTATGAGAAGCGCTGCTACTGAAGTGTCCCAAAAAAAAATCCTCTACTTGAGGAACTAGTTAAATAAATTATTTTGTGGCACTTTGCTTCTAAACCAAAGTTACTTATTAGAGAAAATCCTTGGATATTTACAAAACCAGTACTGTTTTGAGACCCCTTTCACCTACAATGTGAGCTAGTGAGAAAGCCTTCTGATCTTAGCAGTTCCTTTAAGTAAAATGTTCTCGTATCCGTTAGTCTGATTTATGTACTGTAAAATCCTTCTTCATTTTACAGTACGCAATCGTCAATTATAAGAGAAGGGTCCTTAAAAGTTCCTATTTATTCCTGCAGTCGGAAAATTGCTGATATACTATCCAGCAAAAGATAGTCTGTATACTCGACGAGTATTAATGAGCAACAAATAGAAGACGTAGAAAATATTTGCAATTGGAGAATAAAAACTAATCCCAGGAAGGAAACGAATAACTAAATTCAAAAAAAAAAAAAAAAAAAAAAAAAAAAAAAA